TGTGAAAATGTGCTCAGTAAAATCTGCTCCATTGAACAATTTCTGACAAAATGATCACTGACATTATTGCTCATGTCAATATTTCCATATTTCTGTCCTAGTGTCCTTCCCATTGTTTTAAATTCCCTCTAACCCCAAACTGCTTGTCATGATTCAGAATAGCTGTTGTCTCCCATCCAAGTCCTAATCAGGCCTGAACCTGCTTAGCTTCCAAGATGAGATGAAATCAGGCACGTTCAGGGTGGTAGGGCCGTAGACAAAATAGCTGTTGTCCATTTAATCTTATATAGATTTTTTTTTTAAGAATAAAACACTTAGGGGTGACCACTTTTACTTTTGGAGCTAAACTTTTACTTACTTTAAAGCTGACTTCAGGGTAGCAATTGTACAAATTATGCTTGATCTAACTGAATTATGAACTGTTATAATATCTATCTGTAAGAGCTCCCAATAAAATTATTTTTAAAAATAACAAAATAAAGCTGCCTTCAGGTGATAGTTTTGATGAGTAACTGAAGGCAACAGAAGTTCTCCAGCCTCAGTTGGTCCAATACAATGGGCCTGTCTTTATCGCTAAGGAACCCCAACAGCATAGCAGGCTAAGTGGTGGGCTGCTAACTGCAAGGTCTGTGGTTCTAACCCACCAGCCAAGATGAGGCTGTGTTGTGTGGTCAGGTAAAAATGAGTCTCAGAAAACCTGTGAAGCAGTTCTAGTCTTTCCTGCAGGGTTACTACAAGTCAGAATTGGCTTGAAAGCACTGGGCTGGTTTCTCTTTATGACTAGTTCCCCCGGAGATTCTGAGGCATATTCATTTGAGAGTCATCACCCAAGAGCAGGGGTTGGCCTGCTGTCTGTTTCTGTAAGTCAAGATTAATTGGGAAACTGTGGCTGCTTTTAGACTATAATGGCAAAGCTGAGTGGTTAATGGCTGACACTATGTGACCCAAAAAGCCTAAACCATTGCCTACCTGGCCCTCCACAGAAAAAGTTGGTTGACTTCTGCTCTTAGATTGTCAGTCTTTCCCCTTGAATAATCTAGACTCTGTTGCAGTCTGGAAGGAGTTTGGGTGCCAGAGGGGGCTATGCGATACATGTTGGCCTGTTAACTGCCAGGTCAACAGTTCACTCATGGATATACCGTTTTGCTTTGAAAGCACCAGGAGAAAGATGAGGCTTTTTGCCTCGTAAAGATTTGCAGTCTCAGAAACCCACAGGGGCAGCTTTACTCTGTTCTATAGGGTTGCTATGAGCCAGAATGAACTTGATGGCAGTCAGTTTGGTTTTAAAATTTTAAGCTCAGTCTTTTGATAATTTCTGCCAGTTTTAGATTGAATTTAAACTCACAGATCCTTAACTCAGCTGGAAAGTGTTTATTCATTCTTGCATGGTCTGTACTTTCTCCAAGGTCTTCAGCAAATCAGGGAGCCTAAGGATCCTGGGCAGATCCTGCTCTTACCAGGAGTGATTGCTAGCAGAACATGTTGTTTCTACCATGTGCATGTCTTAAAATAGTCCTTAACAATCTAAGATTAGTAGACAGACTTCAGGTAGAGACTGCACCTTTAAGTCCCCAACCAGACAACTCACCTGAATGTCAAGAGAAAAAGTATTGCTAGTTCTATTTTTGAGCAGAGGCCATTGCTACATCTATTTTTAACATATTACCAACATTGGCTAAAGTTAACCAAATTAACCACTTCCCCTTTCTTCTGTTATCCATCTATCCATTTCCCCTAAACACAGAGAAGTAAAGAGGTTGTACATATTTCTACTTTAAAAAATTATGTTTATTTCTTATATTCTTTTATAAAGTACAGTAGGTTTGCAAATCAGAAATGAGATTTCAGGATTATCTTTTGCAGAAATAGCTATTTTTGCTACCAATGAAAACCCTTGATATACCCCTCATATTATTTGAGACCGTGTCTTACATTACAATAAACTTAAGTTTGGTGAGTTGTTATATTTTGCCTCCTAGATAAAACCACTGTTTTAAATTTGAATGTTGTTCTGTTTATGAGATACATTTTTTTCTGCCTACCCCCTTGAACCAACTTTCAGCAAGTGATTCAGATCGTCAGAGGCCAGCACGTTCCTCTTTCTTTTTTCTTCCCCATGCTACATATACCCACTCCCTGTTTTTGCCGATGTTACTCAAAATAGATCCAATTGTGAACCTAGCTCTGTGCACACTGTAGTATTTTAAGATTGAGAATATAGGGTCTTTGTAACTGCACTAGGCAAATGGGCAAAGCAACTTTGACCTAGGTGTTTGGCTGCTACTGCTGCTGTGGTTAGGTGCAGTCAAGTTCATTCCTATTCATAGTGACTCTATGTACAATAGAAGGAAACACTGCCTCATCCTGGACCATCCACACAATTGGGTTTGAACTAATTTTTGCAGCCACTGTGTCAATCCATCTCATGGAGGGGGCTCCTCTCTTCTGGGGGCTGCTCTTCTATTTTACCAAACATGATGTCCTTTTCTGGGGATTGGTCTCTCCTAATAAAATGTCCAAACTAAGAAAGACAGAGTCTCGTCATCTCACATCTATGGAGCATCCTGGTGGTACTTCTAACACAGATTCGTTTTGTTCTTCTGGCACTCCGTGGGACTTTCAATATTCTTTGCCAGCCCCCAAAACCGATTCTTCTTTGGTCTTCCTTATTCATTGTTCGACTATCACATGCGTACAAGGAGATTGAGAAATACCATGGCTTGGGTCAGGCACACCTTAGTCCTCAAAGTGACAGCTTCCCTTTCAATACCGGAATGAGGTCTTGTTCAGCAGATTTGCAGCAGTTTTGCTGCTAAGCTACCCTATTTCAGAAGAGATAAAATTATTGAACAACAGGAAGAAGATAATGTGACCTAGAGATTCAACGAGACTGCTTTTATAGTCCAGTTCTATTTTACCAGGTGGCCAAGTGGTTAAGGTGATGGACTGCTAATCCATTGTGGTCTGCATGCATGAGTTTGAATCCCATCCTCACTAGACAGCTGAACTTATTCTTGGAGATGCCCTGGTAGTATAGTGGGTTACACCTTGGGCTGCTAACCTCAAGGTCAGCAGTTCAGATCTACCATCTGTTCTGTAAGAGGAAGGGGAGGTTTTCTGCTCCCATAAAGATTTACAGTTTTAGAAACCCCATCATATCAAGTCACTGTGAGTCAGAAGCAACTCAATGGCAATGAGTCTGGTGGGGTTTTTGGTTGGTTTATAACTCATTTCTGCCATGGGCTAATCATGTGGCATAAGGAAAGTGCTTAGCTGTCTCATCTAGAAAATACAGATGATTTGACTGTCATAGAGTTGTGAGGGAGAAGGCAAATCGTACATCTGGGACAGGGCTTCGCTGTGGTTTAGGGACTATTGCCATATGCAGTTTGGACTCCCTGTGATTTGGATTCGATTTGTTTCTCTCCATTTCCACGGTTTCTCACGGATGCAAGCCACTCTCAGAGCTTTCCTTGTCACCTCCAAGGGAGTGCTTCCTACGTCTGATTCATTTAACTTCTTCCCCAATCCACGCGCCTCTTCTAACCTCATACTCTCCCAGCTTGGCCTCATTCATTTACCTTCTTCCTGTTCTCCATATCTAATTAATTTTTCTAATTTATTCCTTCCTTTTTGTCCTGATTCTCTTGACCAGACTTTATTACCAGCTGCCTGGACTATTGCAAAAGCCTTCTTTTTTTTTTTTTTTAAAGCCTTCTAATTAGGCTTTCAATTAAGCATCCTGTTCTAAGTTTGCACCATTCAGGTTGGCCTCTACATTGTCACCAGTTTAACTTTCCTAGTCTAACACCAATGGTTTCTTTGTCCAATCCTTTGATTTATTCTTTATTTTTTTATTAAATACTTTTATTGGGAGCTCTTACATCTCTTATCACAATCCACACATTCATGCTGTGTGTCGAGCACATTTGCACATATGCTGCAATCTTCATTTTCAAAGCATTCTCTTCCCACTTGAGCCCCTGATACCAGCTCCCTATTTCTTCCCCCTCCTTCCCCCATGAACCCTTGATAAGTTATACATTATTATTTTCATATCTTACATCATCCTCCATCACCCCTCACCCACTTTTCCATTGTTCATC